ATCTTCTTTGACATGCTGCCAAAGACCTAATTGGCAATTATCTTGGCAAGGCCACACAGAAATACAGAGTCAAAATCGGAGCTTCAAAGTATAAATCGACACCATCCACAACGTTGCTTCCTGCAAAGGCCCACGTGCTTTTGCTCTTCCTTTATAGGAGGGGCCAATCATCTCCAAGCCTTACTCCCGAGTCATCCCTTTTGTTTTAACTGTTCTTGCCTTCTGGCAGCTCTGCACATGCACGCACTAGGAACAGGCTCCTCCTGTTCCTCTGCCTCTCTGATGTCCGACTCTGGAGGCTCCATAGTCCTCACATAACTCCCAGATGGCTCTGGCCTCATCTCTGCCTCTGATGCAGAGCCCTCATCCGAGCCTTTACCAGACTCCAGGACTGGTCCATGTTCCTTCCCAGCCTCCTCACTGTCTGACTCTGCTGCCAGCTCCACAGGCTGCTGGCAGACCACAACAGGTAGTTGTTCTCATTTGCACTGTAAATCCATTCATAAAATTAACCAGTATAAATTACTAGAAATAATAAAGGACTAATAAAGAAGGCAACAAAGATTATTAATCCTATACCAAGTAACCTTGCATTGAATTAAGTTGAATTCAGAAATTGGTCAAAAAGAAGTACAAACGAATGATTTTAAAAGGTAAAAATGAATTGCATAAAGATGCATTGCTTTCTTTGTTCATCTAAGGGTTAAACAGATGCATAGGAATATAATGTACGACAGTTATGATGGAAGAATACACTTGCCATAGAAAGTTTACAAAATTTGAAGAATACAAAAGTCCCAAAATTATATCATACTTATTGTATTTATAAATTGGAGTCTGTAACACCTTTAAAACCTGTAGTTTTTTAAAAAATTGTTATTATTGTAAGGCCTAAGCCTTTGTGAGATTCAGAAAAGCTTAGGCCTTAAAATAATTATAAAATTAGACTAAAATTCATGTATTTGGAACACTATATTTATTAATTTTTATATAGTGCTTCCCATTTTATTAAAAATCTCAGGGTCATTTACAACAGAATAAACTTTGCATTAATAATCACAAACATTGGTTTTCAAAGAATCCTTGCATCTTTGCAAGCCTCTTTCATCCAGGTTGAAAAAAAAAAGAGTGAGCACCACTCTTAAATTGATGAAATGAGGTCATAGCCCAGGAAACTACAGACCAATCAGTCTAACATCAATACCTGGGAAGATCCTGGAAAAGATAATCAAGAAACAGATCTGCGTACAACTTGAAGCAAATAAAGTTATAACTAGTAGCCAGCATGGGTTTGTTAAAAACAGATCATGCCAAACCAAACTTATTCCATTCTTTGATAAAGTGATTAAATTAGTACACCAGCTAAATGCTGTGGACGTTGTATACTTAGACTTCAGCAAGGCATTCAACAAAGTAGACCACAATCTACTTCTTGGTAAACTAGAAAAATGTGGAATAGACAACATCACCACCAGATGGATTTGTAGATGGCTGACAAACTGTACTCAATGAGGAGTCCTTAATGGAACTACATTCATATGGAGAGAAGTAAGTATTGAGGTACCACAAGGCTCCGTCTTAGGCCAGGACTCTGCAATATCTTCATAACTGACTTAGGTGAGGGAATAGAAGGGGAACTCATCAAATTTGCAGATGACAGTAAACTGGCAGGAATAGCCAACACCCCAGAAGACAAGCTCAGGATCCAAAAAGATCTTGACAAACTTGAACAATGGGGCCCTATCCAAACAAAATGAATTTTAATGTGGAGAAAAGTAAAATTTTACTTTTAGGCAGGAAAAATCAAAGGTATGAGTACAGATTAGGCGAGACCTGGCTCATAAACAGTAACTGTGAGAGGGACCTTGGAGTCCTAGTAGATGATCACTTGAATATGAGGCAGCAGTGTGTGGCAGCAGCCAAAAAAGCTAATACAATCCCAGGCTGTATAAACAGAGGCATAGAATCAAGATCACGTGAAGTATTAGTACTGCTTTATAAAACCTTAGTAAGACCACACCTGGAATACTGCAACCAATTTTGGTCACCATACTACAAAAACGATGTTGAGACCTTGGAAGAAGTTCAGAGAAGAGCAACTAAGATGATTAAAGGCCTGGAGACTAAAACATATGAAGAACGGCTGCAGGATTTGGGTTTGGCTAGTCTAAAGAAAAGAAGAATTAGGGGCAACATGATAGCAATATTCCAGTATTTGAAGGGCTGCCATCAAGAAGAGGGGGTCAAATTATTCTACAAAGCACCGGAGGGCAGGACAAGAAACTATGGTTGGAAACTGACAAAAGAGAGAAGCAAGCAACCTGGAATTAAGGAGAAACTTCCTAACAGTGAGGACAATTAACCAATGGAATAGCTTGCCTTCAGAAATTGTGGGAAATCAATGAAAAAGGAGAAATAACAAGGAGATTGGTGTGGGATACCCTGAAGGCGGTGACACAGGGAATATGTATTAGGGAATCCTGTAGTGTTAAAAGGCAAGAAGCTGTATTACGGGAAAAATTAGAGGAACAGATCAAGAAATTGGAAAAAGAGTATTGGCATACAAGAAATAAACAGAAATTAATAGAATTACAAGCTAAGAAAAAAGAATTAGAGAATAAAAATTTAGAGGAAGTTCAGAATAATTTAATATACATGAAAAGAGAATTTTTTGAAAATAATAATAAAAATTCCAAGATGCTTGCCAGGCTCACACAAAAGGAGAAAGCTAAAAATTCAATAGGTATAGTGAAAGATAAATTGGGGAATTATTGTAGTACAATGAAAGGAAAGTTAAAAATATTCCAGGAATTTTATCAAGAGTTGTACAAGGGTAAGGAGGTTAAGAAGGATAGAATGGAAGCTTATATTGGGAAATATATAAAACGGAGCATAAAGAATTAATGGAAAGGAGTATATCGCAAAGGGAAATTGTAGAAGTAATTGAAAGTTTGAAGGTGGGTAAATCACCTGGGGTAGATGGATTAGGAACAGAATTCTATAAAATATTTAAAACATTATTAGTACCGAAATTATTAAAGCTGTATAATGCAATATTAGAAGGGGAAAAGATTCCAGAATCATGGGAGCAGTCGTTAATAATATTAATATCTAAACCAGATAAGGATCCGACGCTCCCTGACTCGTACAGACCTATATCATTAATAAATTGCTGAGCACATTGTAAACCGCCCTGAGTCTCCGGAGAAGGGCGGCATATAAATCAAATTAAAAAAAAAAAATCAAGATGCAAAAATTTTTTCAACTATTTTAGCAAGAAGAATGAATAATTGTATAGGTAATTATATAAGGGAAGATCAATGTGGATTTGTAATGGGTCGACAAATGCATAATTTGGTTGGAAGAGTGTTACATGTAATTCACGAGATTAAAAATCTAAAGCTTAAAGCAGGGATATTAGCCTTAGACATTTTTAAGGCCTTCAATTGTGTGAGCTGGCAAGCATTAAAGATGGTAATAGACAGAATGGGGTTTGGAAACAAATTCAAAGTTGTAATAGATCAATTATATTCTCGGAACTCTGCCTTAGTGGTAGTGAATGATGGAGTTACAGACAAGATACGACTCGCCAGAGGAACAAGGCAAGGGTGCCCACTCTCACCTGTCCTATTTGTATTGGTTATGGAACTATTGGCCAATGCATTGAGAGATGACGGGGAGATAGAAGGGATAAGTAAAATAAAACTAAATATGTTTGCTGATGATACATTGTTAACAGTTAAGAACATAGTAGATAAATGGAAAGAATTGGATGGCATCTAAAAGAATTTAAAGAAATAACTGGATTAAGAATAAATTGGTCAAAATCTGAGTTGATGTTGTTTAATTATACTAAAACGGAAGAGAAGGATTGAGAAGGGAAGCGAAGCGAAATGAGAATTAAAGATCATATTAAATACCTGGGAGTTAGAATTACAAAAAATTTGGAGAAGTTAGAAAAGGAAAATATAGGCAGCTTAAAGAAGGAGATTTTGGAAAGTTTGAATAAATATAAAAGGTTGAATTTATCATGGTTTGGAAGAATTGCTTTAGTAAAAATGAAGATTTTAGCAAAGATTAATTTTGCTTTTAGGATGCTACCAATAATAATATCAGATTTAGAGTTAAAGAGTTGGCAGAAAATACTGAATAACTATTGTAATGGGAATAAGAAAGTGAGGATAAATAAAAATAAGTGGTATCTAAGCCAAAAAAAGGGGGGTTTAGGACTCCCAAATATTAAATTATATTATGTCGCTAATAGACTTATACATGTTATAGAGGCAATTTTAGGAATAGGAGAATTGGAATGGTTGGAAGATAAATCTAAAATTAAAACCAAATTAGAATGGAAGCTGGAAAATATATTTTTTATGGAAGGTGGAAAGAAATGGGTTGAAAGCATAAACAATCCTCTCCTGAAGTTTCATTGGGAAATTTGGAGTAAATATAAAGGGAGGCTGATTCCAAAGAACTCTCCATTATCACCAGTAGTAATCTTGGAAAAGTTCCCAGAGAATTTGAAGAATAAAGTGAATAAAATCTTAAAAGAAAAAAATAAAATGAAACTAAGGGAATGGTTAGGAGGAATGAGGACACGTGGGGAATTGGAAGAGGTTCTAGGAGGAAAACGGTTGTCTTGGTTAAATTACAGCCAAGTGGAACAATGGACTAAAAACTAGATAAGAGAAAATGGAGAGTGTAGAGAGTTAACGAGGTTCGAGGAATTAATTGGAAAAAATGAAACTGTAAAGGAAGAAAATAAAGGGATAAAAGGCTTAATGAGTGGAATTTATAAAATATTGTTGGAGGAAGAGGAGAGGGAAAATTTAGGAAAGATAGTATGGGAAACTGATTTGAAGATACAAATAGAGTTGGGAAAGAATTTGGCAACAAAGAGTGTTGAGAAATATGTCAGTAAGAATAAAAGAGAATTATTATAAAACGATATGGAGGTAGTACTTAACTCCGGTTAGATTAAGCAATATGAATCAGAACTATTCAGATAACTGTTGGAGAGGTTGTGGGGAAAAAGGAACATATTTACATATGTGGTGGGATTGTAAATTTGTGCAAAAATTGTGGAAGATGGTGTTTAAGGAGATTGAAGAAATTGTAGGAATAAAGGTAGAAGAGGCACCAAAGGTAGCATTACTCTCACTCTCGCCAAGGCTCAAGGTTGACTCAGCCTTCCATCCTTTCTAAGGTAGGTGAAATGAGGACCCAGTTTGTGGGGGCAATAAGCTGACTTTATATAAATATACAAAAGGATGAAGGCTATTGCTGAGCACATTGTAAGCTGCCCTGAGTCTCCAGAGAAGGGCAGCATATAAATCAAATTAAAAAAAAACAAACAACTATTGGAAGATATAAAGTGTAAAAAAGAGACTAAAGAGTTGATAACAAATTTGTTGACCGCAGCAAGGTTAATGATTTCTAGGAACTGGAAGACATGAGGTGATTATTGTTTGGAAGAATGGTATAAGGAAATATGGGATATTGCCATAAATGATAAACTGACTTGTAATATTAAAGTAAGGAGGGGCATAATGAAAGTAAATTAATTCAATGGAATCTGGAAACAGTTCCTAATATGTGTTTTTGGGAGGAAGGGGGATACCACCACCAGAAGAAGCTTTAAGATTTTGGAAGCAGGAATGATCCTGAGGGGTGGGGGAGCACTTGTTGATTGTTTGTATTGTGTATATTGTGTATATATTATATTTTATGATTTATGTATGTTAATATATAAATAATAATAAATTAACTTAAAATTTAAAAAAAAAGAAAAAGAAATTGTGGGTGCTCCATCATTGAAGATATTTAAGAAGAGACTAGTATAGGTTCTCCTGCTTGAGTAGGGGGTTGGACTAGAAGATCTCCAAGGTCCCTTCCGGCTCTATTCTATTCTAAGGACACAGAGACCTGATTGTCAAATGAAGATTCAAAATTAGTGGAATTGCAAGATTCTTCACAAATGCGAGTTTTTCTCACCCCTGTGAGATACATGCTTCCTCTTCATTTTTTGCACATTATTTGTTGTAACTACCAGTAATATCTGGGTACCAATGCACAAACCATGCTGGGTCTTATAGTGTTGTAAATATACAACTTAGACATGATACAATTATTTCAAATTATACAGAATGTTAAATGCCCAGTGTGTGGTGGGTTTTTGTTTTTATCTTTCAGGTCCTTTAGTATTAGGCAGCAGAGCATGGGTATCCATCTTCTCCAAGTGAAGAGTACCATCTGCTGGTAAATGGGTAACATTTCACTCAAGTCTCCAGGGGTTCAATTAATTACATAGGGACTATTATTACCTTAACACTATGCAGACAATAGAGGATACTTCCGTAAAAAATAAATGATTTGTCTACAATGCATGTGATTCCTCTGTTTTTTTAGAATACAATTTATTTTATACAATAGAATAGTAGGGTTTCTTAAAACACTTTATTATGATACAACTCTTTACAGAAAGAATACTGAGGCTTTGGTAGGTAGTAGTCCTGGGACCCTATATTTATTAATTTTTATATAACACTTCTCATTTTATCAAAAGGGTCATTTGCAATAGAAAAATCACAAATTTGATTTTCAAAGAATCCTTCCATCTTTGCAAGCATCTTTCATCCAGGAAGAAAAGCGTCATCATATGATGGTTGAACCCCTAAATATATGTTTAAACCAGTAAACATAAAAGGTATGTTGTGAAGGAAAAGAGACTGGAGGAGGCATTTGAGCGTAAGAAAAGACATTCAAGACCTCAGTATCATTACTGATCGCTAATGTACCCTTCCATGGCTCTTTAGATCACTAGGTACTTCTTTGAAGACGATCCCCTGGAGAAAGCAAAAAAAGACTGGGCAAGAAAATAAATGGAAAATAGATTTTCTCTTCTAATGTAGGTAAATGCGGGTCTAGCTAGATGATCACTGAAGGGCCCTCTTTATTCATAGTATTGTAAGAAAGGAAATGTGCTTGTTTAAGGTAAGCCAATTATCCAGTTGAAAGGCAGAAAATTCCTTTGAAGTAGAAACATTCACAAGAGGGGCCACTCAGTTATCAGAGATAGAGATATTTGTTTGAAGGTTAAAACAGATCAAAGGATGACCACATGTAATATCAACAAGAGATAATTTGAATATGCTTCAGTAATTTACATGAAAAATTATGACTGTTGGCAAAGAAAATGTAAAACTTAATAATTAGGAAATGTCAATTAAAAATAACAAATGTATATGATCATATGAACTGCTGAGTTAACAGAATCCTTTGTTTGATACTGTATAAAACTGGAATCTCATGTTCATTACTTTGCTCAGATCTTGAGGTAACAATACCTGTCTGAACCTTATTGCAATAATAAACTGACTCTGTCTGCCCCGAAGGGATGTCTCTTAATTCCTTCCTTCCATAACACTTCTGATGTGGGTACAAGTCTTTTTAAAAATAATAATAAAATAGTATATGCAAAACTCAAATTTATTCTCCAACAGTTTCTTAATAACATTGTTGAATAATGAAACGGTTTACAGTTCGGTATTTATGTACCTCACCTGAATGTGAGAACTTCATTTGTAAGCTCCTTGAAAGCTTCTGTTAATCACCATCTTTTTATGAGTTTCTACTCATTTTATATATTTATTTATTGGAATCCGTGCAAAAGAGAAAAAAAAAGTCAATTGCATTTGCTATTTCTCTGATTCCCGGGCTGATTTTCTCACCCTCTTCAATAATTCCCCCTCCCCCACCCTTAATGCATTGAATTTGATTTCATAGAAAAAAGTACAGATAGTTCTTGACTTGCAAGAGTTCATTTAGTGACTGTTTGAAGTTACAAGCAGCACTGAGAAAAAGGGACTTATGAGCGTTTTTCACATTTACGACTTTTGCCGCATCCCCATGGTCATGTGATCAAAATTCAGTTGCTTGGCAGCTGATTCATATTTATGATGATTGCAGTGTCCCAGGGTTATGTGATCCCCTTTTGTCAATGGGGTGCCATTTTTCACTTACCAACCACATTAACTAAGCAACTGCAGGGATTCACTTAACCGTGGCAAGAAAGGTCACAAAATGAGGCAAAATTCTGTCTCAATAACAGAAATTGGGAGCTCAATTGTGGTCGTAAGTCAAGGACTACTTACAGCATCAGATTCCCCCTCCTGTCTCCCAATACCTTCTAAATCCAGAAAATCTCAACTCTAAAAATCACACAGTGGTCGACATGATGAGGGGGTGCAGAAAGCAATCCAGATGAAGTCTGTAGCGATTCTCAGTCATCCAGGTCATGGTTGTCCCAAAGGTGCTTTTTCAGGAGGCAACTGGACTTTCTTGTTTTTTCTTTGAAGACATTTTGCTTCTCATCCAAGGAGCTTCTTCACCTCTGATTGGATGGTGGCTGAATCCTCCCATTCCCCACCATGCAGTCAGAGCTGAAGAAGCTTCTTGGTTGAGAAGCAAAACGTCTTCAAAGAAGAACCAAGGAAGTCCAGTTGCCTCCTGAAAAAACACCTTTGGAACAATCAAGATCAAGTATTCAAGACTCCTCCTAATTCTCTGCCTATCCCTCACTCATCCTCCATCCTCAGATGGAACTCGGTTCTTTCTCGCTCTCAAACTTCTTAACTGCCCATCTCTCTCGTAGGATGGAGATATAAGAAACTGAGGCCCAAATGTTTTCATTTCTGCCCTGCCAATTGCATTCTTAGATCGAACAGTTCCGATCCAAATTTATTAATTCTTCATTTAAAAGGGACAGAGAAAAATAATAAAAATAAATCCAAAGAATAGCTAGAACACATCCTCATTGGGGAGGGGGGGCTGTTCATTGATGGGAACAGTCCTTTGAGCTGCAGATAGGAAATGAAACAAAAAAATGTTAAAAAGTTATGATATTTATGTAGTTATTTACCAAGCACATCTAAATTTATTAAAGTGACCAAAATATCTTTACAATCCCCAAGGCAGGTCCCAGCTTTTGAGCACCCTTAATGTTAAGGGATGCGGTGGCTCAGCGGCTAAGACGCTGAGCTTGAAAGGTCGAAAGTGGCTCGAAAGGTTGGCGGTTCAGCGGTTCGAATCCCTAGTGCCGTGTAATGGGGTGAGCTCCCATTACCTGTCCCAGCTTCTGCCAACCTAGCAGTTTGAAAGCACGTAAACAATGCAAGTAGAAAAATAGCCTTTGGTGGGAAGGTAACAATGTTCCGTGCACCTTTGGCATTTAGTCATGCTGGCCACATGACCATGGAGACGTCTTCGGACAGCGCTGGCTCTTCGGCTTTGAAACAGAGATGCGCACCGCTCCCTAGAGTCCGGAATGACTAGCACATATGTGCGAGGGGAACCTTTACCTTTACCTTAATGTTTGGAAATTGAAAGTTGAACAACTCCCTAAGTAAGAGTCTGTGAGTCTGATCCAGGGAGAAGATTGTTCCAAAATATATTTGACTGCATTTCCATAGATGCACAAGAAGATAAAGCAAAATGATCGTGGTGACACGATCAAAATTTGGACATTTGGCATCTGGCTCATATTTATGACCGTTGCAGTGTCCTGGGGTCATGTGATCCCCTTTTGTGACCTTCCAACAAGCAAAGTCAATGAGAAAACCATATTCACTTTACAACTGTGTTACTAACTTAACAAATGCAGCAATTCACTTAACAACTGTGGAAAGAAAGGTTGTAAAATGGGGGGGGGAATCATTTAACAACTGTCTCTCTTAGCAATGGAAATTTTGGGTTCAGTTGTGGTTGCAAGTTGAGGACTACCTGTAAGTGACTTGAAGTATACAAGTAGTCCTCAACTTACAACAGTTCGAAGTTAAACGACACTGAAAAAAGTGACGTATGACTATCATTCATACTTATGATCATTGCAGCATCCCCATTGTCATGTGATCAAAATTTGGATGTTTGGCAACTGGTTCATATTTATGACAGCTGCAATGTCCTGGAATCATGTGATCCACCTTATGGGACCTTCTGACGAGCAAAGTCAATGGGGGAGCCAGATTCACTTAGCAACTGTGTTCCTAACTTAACAACTGCAGAGATTCACTTAACAACCATGGCAAGAAAGGTGGTAAAAATGGGGCAAAACTCACTTAACAAATGTCTCGCTTACTTAACAGAAATTTTGGGCTCAGTTGTGGTAGTACGTTGAGGACATCCTGTATCCAATTATTTCAATGGAAGTATTTTTAAAGGTAGCAAATGAGGAAGAGAGCAAAACCCCAAAATTTTCAGCTGGTTTTAAAGTGCCAGGCATTTTATTTCAAGAAACAAACAGTCACAAAATACCCAATGGAAGGAGGGGCGGGAGAGGAAAGGGGCACATCCAATTTTTCTGAGCATGAGCTTAAAGAAATTTATCAGAACTTCACAAGAAGCTGACAATGAACTATTTGTCATGCTTTTTTCCAGTTCTCTCAGCAAGAGAGCAAAGCTTGTCCACTTCCCACTTTAGTTAAACACTAGAAAATCCTCTCATTAGTTTCTGGGGCTTTTTAAAGAGATTCCAGAGAAGATGGAGAGATGGAACAAAGAGCTTGAATTCAGCAAGAGCTTGGAAAGAACAGAGTTCCCTGCTAGCCTGCTTCCAGGGTCAATAGCTACGATATTCACTCAGGTTTTGCTCACTAGTTTCTTTTCCACTTTTTAAAATGCAGGACTAACAATTCCAGGCATTTTTATCACTGAATTATAAGTAAAGATCCTGCAAGGTCAGGAGCCAATTTTCTTTCTTTTTTTAATAATATTTTTTATTAAAGTTTCAAATACAAAGATAAAAAAACTAATATGGTACAAACTAAGAAAAATATTAAAAAGAAAAAAAATAGAAAGTGGAAAAAGAAAAAAAGGTAAAAGAAGGTGGTAACAAGGGAACACACACACACACACACACACACACACATACACGTGTGTGTGTGTGTGTGTGTGTGTGTGTGTGTGTATGTTTGTGTATGAATTTCCCCTTCACTAAGTACAAACATTTACAGCAATTTAACACGTTCTCTAATATTTCATCCCAAAATCTCACCTCTAGTAAACCTCATCCCACCTCTAGTAAACCTCATCTTATAAATCTTTAAAATCTCATAATTCAAATTTAATTAAGAAAATTTCCATTACATGTTACTAGAAACAACAACTAATTTTCCAGGCAAATAGTAGAAAATCTTTTTCTGAGACCTTTTGGCCAATCTTTCTCTCTCCTTAGAAAATAAGTTCGTAATTTGCCTCTTGAATTATTTTGAAATAATTATTTAAGTATTTCATATAAATGCACTCATTTTCAAAATTAATCATTAGTTAAATAATTTTATTTATATTATATTAAAGAATATAATATTTATATTATATTAAAGAAAATATTTTATTTACAGCTTAACAAGAAAAGGGGATGTTGATTAATTAAATTAATTGATAGATTTGATTTGATTTGATGGAATATCATCTGGATTCCCAGGAGGGAAGGGCTGCTTTCCATGGGCAAAGAAGCAACTGAGCTTGGAAAGTTTGGTCAGGAGAAAGAGGATTAAAATGGCTCCTCCCTAGATCCCTATATCCTAGAATATATATGTGTAGTTATGCAAACAGTTGCTTGAGTCTGGCAAGTTTCTGTCTGTAGGTGAATAACAATAAAGAAAACTATTCTTGAGTAACTCCACATGCCATTATGGTTTTCTTTACAATTAATAATTATTATAATTTATATTCTAATTAACTAATGCTGTTATTAATTATAATTAAGATTTATTTACTAGTTGACTAATAGGTTTAATTATTAATTTTATGGTAAACATAACTTTTTTTTTATTGTTGTTGCCAGCTTTGTTGCTCACACAATTCAGAGGGAAAGGAAGGATGCTAATTCAATGGTTCTCAACTTTTTCTTCACCACGGACTCCTTTTAAATACCTTTTGTGGCCACAGACCATGGCCACAGACCCCCAAAACTTAACTCATAACATTTCTTCAAGCCTTCGTGGACCCACTGTGATGACATTACAGCCCCCTCCAGAAGACTGAGGAGAATCACTGTGCTAATTAATAATACCTTTTTTTAATTAATAATGAAATAATTTATATTATAAATGATGTTGTGAAAAAGTATAATAATTAACATAATAATAATTAATTAACACCTTGAAAGGTAACATTTTACTTTTATTGTTCAGAGGGAGCTATATTTTTGCAGCTTGTTATTCCACAATAAATAAATAATGACATATTTGCTTTTTTCTTCTCTCAGAATTGTTTCTCTCAGTTACTGTAACAACTGATCATTCTAATATGATCAGTTGTTACGGGAAGAATTAGTGTATACATTACACTATAATGTAATGTAATGTATACTGTATAATAATAATAATGTATTACTGTACTAATACAGTAAGAATTAGTGTCCAAATTTACTTATATTTCTTTTCCCTCCAGATTTGCTTGTTCTTTGCATCACAGCAGTATGATATAATTTGGACTTCTCTTTTGCCTTGATTGCCTTGGTGGGAAAAGCTTTATACTGACAATAAATTAATTGATTAAAACAAGATTTAAAACTCGAGATCAATTCACCACATTGAGATGGTGTGCATGGTAAATAAATATGTCATGTCAAAATGTGGTTAGGTTATTGTGCATCATTACTTTGCCACTTGAAGATCCACAACCTGACCGGATGTGTTATGCCACCACAAAGCCACAAATGGGTAATGAGGTAGCCAATGTGCAGCATTAGTATATCGGATGGGATGAAACACTCATGGAATTGTTGGTATACACCACTAAATTGTGAAATCTGAGCCAAGGGCTCCATGGACATTCCATGAAATTGTAGCCATTGCTACCTGCATCAGAAGAAAAACGATAAGGATAAAGATAAGTTTCCATCACTTACGGAAGAGATCAGTTTAATTTTTAAAAAATTAAATGAAAAAGCATCTTAGTTCCTTGGTACTGCACAAGAATACTAAGAACTTTGAAGTCAAACTCTTGGGTACCATCTAATATTTATCTGGAATTTTGCAGCCCAAATACCGATTAGTAAAAATTTTCCAAGCTTTCTCCAATATAAAATTATTTTTAAAAATGAGAGAACATTGACAAAATAGAAACAAGCCACAGGCCTCAAATGATAAACCGAGCTCTGTTCAGAATATGTTTTTTTTTATTTATTGCATTTCTAGATCATCTCATAGCCATAGTTTTCTTCATCAAGTATAATTGAATTATATTTTAATTATAAAAAAGATAAAGCTAAACAAAAGACAAAACCATAAGACAAATATCTTCAGCACCAATAATAATAGCAGCAATACAAACAACATGAAAATGCAGCAGTAAAACAGCAATAATCCAAGAACTCTAAAATAGATTTTAAAATGCCTGGACAAGTAAAATATAGACAAATCTTCTTAACTTACTCATCACTCCAAACAGTAATTTATATTAGTCTTAATTTTATGAAAACTATGGTAATCCTTAGTTTCCTAGTACATTCTGTACTGGAATAATAGCCTCACCAGTCTGTCAATTGTTGCAGTGAAGTTTACTTAATTCTTCTACCATAAATTATGCTTCATTCTGTATTATAAATTTGGTCCACTGCTTTCAGGTAAATGTTCAAAGCAAGCATCTCAGTCATCCAGGTCATGGTTGTCCCAAAGGTGCTTTTTCCAAAAGTCAACTGGACTTTCTTTGTTTTCTTCAAGACGTTTCATCCAAGAAGCTTCTTCTGTTTGTTTGACTGAATGAGGGGAGGAGGGTCAGAATAGAAGGATGCACTCTGATTCAGGTGACTCTGAGGGCACAGATAAATCCCGAGGTGGCCTCAACAAATCTCAGAGAAACGACCAGATGACTGCAAGGAATATAAATCAAAGCCCCTGAAGGTCAGACAAGGAATAATGGATGGAAACTGACCAAGGAAAGATTCAATCTAGAGATGAGGAGGAACTTTCTGACAGTGAGAATAATCAACCAATGGAACAACTTGCCTTCAGAAGTGGTGGGAGCTTCATCACTTGAGACTTTCAAGAAAAGATTGGACTGCTATTTGTTAGAAATGGTGTAGGGTCTCCTACTTGAGCGGGGGGTTAGACTAGATGACCTATAATGTCCCTTCCAACTCTGTTAATCTGTTAATCTGTTAAAAGCCTTCCATTCCTCCCACCCCCACCCCACCATTCAGTAGAACTGAAGAAGCCTCTCTTTCAAAAGTTGTCCTTTGTGCAAAGCAAATCTTTCTTGAAGATTTAAGCTCTCAAATGAACAAAATGTATAGACAAAAGTAGACAAAACATCTGTTTTGTGTAAAAGCATTCACTAATGCTCCAGTTTCCTTGAAATAAATTACTTTGTGCTTAAACCCCAATGGGCAATTATTTCCATAATTGAATTTATTCACGTTTCCCCATATACAGGTTCTGGTGTAGGTCAGCCATTCCTAAACTACTAATATCCAACAATAGACCATTGTTTTTTTCATGTTGTAAGCTTCCCAGAATCACTTATTAGCAAGATGTGTTGCATATAAATGTAATAAAATAAATAAAAGTAACAACAACCATCAGCATCACTTATTCTAGTTAAGTTGGCTAGGCTGAGAAATTTTTGTTTGGAGAAGGAAGATAAAATCCATCCTCTTCAGGACCATTATTCTCAGGAAAATATGTGGAAACAATAGAACTGATTTTATGTCCATTTCTATTGCATTGGCTCTGCCCTGATCTTGAAAAACTAAATAGAATTCAATCCTATTAGTACTTGGATGAAAAAGCATTCAAAAAACTTTCAGGGTTGTAGGCTAGACTGAAAATAAGAATAGGTCTAACACCAACGAACAACATCTGCCCATGCCACATCCTTGGGAAAGTGGATAAAAATGCCAAATCCAGTCTAAACATTTGGCTGACTGTATGACCAACCACAATTCTTCTAGAAAGTAGTTGTGGCAAACCATTTGGCTACTGTTGCCAAGAAGATTACCTGGAGGCATCCATGAAGTTCACGAGTTGAGCTCTGCTCAAAGAAAACTTAATTTCTATCTTGATCTCCAGCAAAAAAACCTCTTTCAGTATTATCTATAAAAGGAAATGCCTCTCCATTGATCATGGAGGTGTACAAGCAATCCAGCTGAATGCTTTGCTTATCCGTTGTATGTTCACTTGAATCAGAAAACCAGAGGAAGGACTTAATGAAGATACCAGTCACATTGTTCATGATGTTTGTACCCATTGAATTCCAAAAGACAAAGCAATCAGTCATACCTACTGTATCATTCAATACATCTCAGAGCTGTGGTAGGTTTTTTTAAATACAAATCTGTGGTATCATGTGTTTTAATCAACAATCTTCTCAGCTGCTATTAGACTCTTGTTACTTTATCTGCTACATGTTGTCTATAGGCAAGATAAATATTTTAATGAGAAAATATAAGTTGATGAATTCCAGTTTGGAACAAAATATCAACTGATTGCATAAGTCATTGGTTTGGGCAAAATGAAGATTGTTGCCCATTCTTCTTTTAGAATCTATCTATAAAATTAATGTTTCATTAATTTTGCTTGGTGCTCTAGCATTAATAGTATCCCCTCACCCACTACTGTTGAGATAGATCCATGATTTTGACACTATGGTTTTCAAAAACATTTTAATCATTTTGATTTGCTGGATTGTTGTAATCACTATTGCATAAGTCAAGTTGATTTTTTAAAACAGGTTTGTTTATCATTAGCTGATTCACATCATGTTAGGCAGAAGTTCTCCACATTTTCCTTATCAGTCCAAACAATTACACAGTTTAATTATTGATTGCAAAATGTCAACCGGTTCATCAGTTTATATTAAATATGAAACCGATTACAAATTTACAGGAGTATGTTACAACAAAGATTAACTTGTGCCATCTGACATCTACTAAGAGTAGACACAGTAGCTTATGAGTGCCTGTTTTAGTATATAATAAAATTAAGGCCCAGACTGACCCATAGAAGTTATTAGTGCTTGCCAGATGATTTGAACTCCATAGAAGATAGAGCAGGACAGTCAAAGAATAAATCCTGCAACATATTTTAGACTAAGCAGTAAGCCTTTTTTCACCCTATAAAAACATTCTTATTTTTATATATTATAAATAGATTATATATATTATAATATATATTCATATATTATAAATATATTATTTATTTCATATTTCTAGACCACCCATCTCCCTCAAGAATAGTTATAATCAGTAGTTTGATTATAAAAAATTGGAGATATTCATACATTGTACACTTTCCATTCTCCAGTTTTGAAGTCATCCCCACAATTGTCCTCACTCCCACTAATCCTAGAATGCTGAGAACAAACAGGTAACACTGTGAGCCAATCAAAAAGAGAGTGCAAATCTCCTCTCCCACACGGCACTTCCTTGAGCTGTGGCAGCTTCTACGGGAACCCATATAGCACATAAATGGGGGGGAGGGGGGAACAAGTACAACGCACACACAGTCTCCCAATTTTCAGTGCAAACTGTCCACATTTGTCTGTTTTCCAAAATATTTTAGTTATTTATACAATTAAAAAGGTGATGGTTGCAAATATTTTCAGCGTGTAAATCCTATTGAAAGTTTTAACAATGGCATCATAACCATAGTTTTGTACCCGTTTTATCCCCAGTAGTTGTAACCATAGAAGTTGGTTTCTGAAAAGAGGCTTTATATGTGTAAGTGAAAAATGAAGAGAGTGATCACTTGTTTGAGGCCAGACAATACAAGTAAGAAAAAGACAAAAGTTCAATACATACTACTTATCTAAATAGGGAAATCAAGGTTTTATAGGTGTTGCGATTAGATATGCTACTTGGTTTGTTGCATCTTAACTATTAACTGTAGGGGATACATACTTTTTATTTTTATTTTTATTTTACACCTATTAATGTATCAGATTTATCACCTGGGTAAATAGCAGTATTAATATAGTAAGAGAGGAGTGGATGTTATATTCCATGATTCATTTTGCTAGTTGTTACATTTTATTATAGTTATTTACTTCATTCCATTTTTGTTCTATTTTTTAAAATTTTGCAAGCCACTGACTGACTAAGCATTAGTAATTTGTTGATTGATTAGATATTGACTAGAATGGTTAAGATTAGGTTTATTGTTTATCAAATTGATTAGAAAACTCCGGTTCAAATCGTAGCAATTAGGAGGAGGCAAAAGTTACCATGTATTGGAAAAACTCTTTAATTCTTAGTTTTACAAACATTCAGTGTCTCAAATCAGAAGCCAGAAATTTTGCCTTTTTTTTTTTTTTTTGCTGAGTTCTACTGTCTGAGGAGGACCACTGAACACAAGGGTAACTGCTGATGTAGGAGTGACATCAAATCCATACTATAAACATATCCTACATCAAAATCAAAATCAAACATCAAAAGGGAGGCAATG